AAATAAATTAAAATTACAAAAACACCTTGATTTCCGTCCCAAAACGACGTCGTTTCGATGAACATTAGATAAAGTTATCTAAAGTAACTTTAGAAAAAACAAACCCTTATTAATATAGTAAAAAGTAACCTACTTAACACCATTTATTATAAATACCGCATGAGTCCCACTTTAGGTAAAGGAGTACTTGCATCAGAGTTGGCCCGCTCAATTCTTGATTATTTTATATAAATAATTGTATGATATATAGAGTTTTGTGTTTAATTTTTGCTTATATAAATTAAGAATTTTATTATAAAATTTATTTAATTGAACGTTGTTGGATTGAAACTATGAAAAATAAAATGTGAAAGTATGAGAATTAAATTAGCAAATGGAAACTTCTTTTAAAAAATAAAGATATTTGGCCAATGGAATGACTCACCCAAGTCATGGCCTGAGAGTCAGGCTAAAATAACAAATTGCTAGCTTAAAATTGTTTTACCTGACCCAAATTTGACTTGGTTTAGAATGAGTGAGCCCAAATTAAAATCTCAAATTAAAGCTGTTATGTCTATTAATTTTAAGTGATTACTTCCGTCTCTCCTTTTTTTTTTTTAATTGGTAGACTGTTTCTCTCCTTTTTAATTGTACATTCAAACTAGTTTGATTTTTCCCTATAATAAATAAACAACTCTTGTTGAAAAGGCGACGTGTTGTTTTATTCAGAAAATCAATCAAACAATTGTAAATAAAGTCATGAAATAAATCTCGTGTAAGATTCCGTTTACATGATGAGGCGACATTTTCCAATGACACATATTACTAAAAAATTAGAGCCCTTAGATATAAATGGGATCAACGGATGAGATTAAAAGTGTAACTTACACTGGTGTAAAATGATCCTGACCCTATATATATATATATATATATATATATATTCTGCACAATTCACACTTAATCAGTGGAACATATTATATAAAAAAGATAAGTTATTTTATTTATTTATTTGTCAATTTTTATCTATCACTTTAAAAGATAATTAGATCAAAATCTTAATTAATATTTATCTTTTTAATCCAAATTTTTATCTATCTTTTTAACATCAAAAATGCACAACACAGTTTAAAAATATGTTTTTTTTTTTAATCCAAATTACATGTTTGCTTATATGTCCACCTCGACTATGGTCATTAGTATTATAGATGCATCGATTTCTTGATGCATTCTCCACTCATAATATACACATATTTTATTTTTGTCAAATTATTAATAAATAATTTATTTTAAAATAAAGTAAAAAAGTAATTTATCAAAAATTAAAAAATGTGTCATATTATGAGTGAAAAATGATAACACTGAGGGGGCGTTTGGTAGAGGAGAATTTCTAGGAATATTATGAGAAATAAGTTTTCTTGGAATGTAATCAAAAAGTTGTTTGGTAGACTAACATATTCCGGAGAATATTACGTTAATTTCCTTAATACTATGTTTAGTTGTATTAAATTTTTCCTTGTCATAGAAATTTTAAAATACCACCTTTTGAATGGTATTCCTGGATAGTTTTTTTAAAACAAATTACACACAAAATAAAATTCTGAGAAAATTAGATTCTTGATTGAGTTGAAAATTCTATTGTAAACTTGATTGAGTTGCAAATTTCAAGGAATTCTTATTCTAATTCTGATTGCGTAGAAAATTTCAAAGGTAACTGTAGCCATTTTCAAAACACAAAGTAATTATATTACGAGAAGTTTTTTAACAATTAATGAAAATAGCAGTAATTAATATACCTATTAGGAATAAGTCATTCACTATGTGTAATTGTTGTAATTGCTTATGTTAATAATGAGTTGTCAATTCAATAAATAAAATTGAAAAATTGTTAATGCTAATATGAATGGAATCCTCATAAAAAAGGGAGTTGTCAATGCTCATAATGATAAGATGAAAAATGAAAAATAATTATACGAGATATAGAATTTTAAAATAAAAGAATGAAAAAAAAATCATACGGTAGGGGTGAAAGTGGGTTGGGCTGGGTCAAACTTTGCCCTGAAAAGCTCAAGTCTACGTCAAAAAATTTCAATTTAGTCCGACCCAAGCCTAGTTTATTAATATAGTAAAAAGTAACCTACTTAACACCATTTATTATAAATACCGCATGAGTCCCACTTTAGGTAAAGGAGTACTTGCATCAGAGTTGGCCCGCTCAGTTCTTGATTATTTTATATAAATAATTGTATGATATATAGAGTTTTGTCTTTTATTTTTGCTTATATAAATTAAGAATTTTATTATAAAATTTATTTAACTGAACGTTGTTGGATTGAAACTATGAAAAATAAAATAAATAAAATGTGAAAGTATGAGAATTAAATTTGCAAATGGAAACTTCTTTTAAAAAATAAAGATATTTGGCCAATGGAATGACTCACCCAAGTCATGGCCTGAGAGTCAGGCTAAAATAACAAATTGCTAGCTTAAAATTGTTTTACCTGACCCAAATTTGACTTGGTTTAGAATGAGCGAGCCCAAATTAAAATCTCAAATTAAAGCTGTTATGTCTATTAATTTTAAGTGATTACTTCCGTCTCTCCTTTTTTTTTTTTTTTAATTGGTAGACTGTTTCTCTCCTTTTTAATTGTACATTCAAACTAGTTTGATTTTTCCCTATAATAAATAAACAACTCTTGTTGAAAAGGCGACGTGTTGTTTTATTCAGAAAATCAATCAAACAATTGTAAATAAAGTCATGAAATAAATCTCGTGTAAGATTTCGTTTACATGATGAGGCGACAATTTTTTTAATGAAGATATATATATATATATATATATATATATATATATATATATATATATATATATATATATATATTACTTTGCTTATTTAAGTTTGGTAGGAGGTATATATATATATATATATATTCTGCACAATTCACACTTAATCAGTGGAACATATTATATAAAAAAGATAAGTTATTTTATTTATTTATTTGTCAATTTTAATCTATCACTTTAAAAGATCATTAGATCAGAATCTTAATTAACATTTATCTTTTTTTCTTCTATTTAAATTCTGATCTAACTGTAATGAAAAATGATAAATAAAAGTAGATAAAAAAAATGATAGATAAAATAACTTAGGACTTTACATTTCTCATTTAACATGAGGTTAGAAAAGTTCCTACACATACATAATTCAAATGGGTCTCACCATCAACAAAAAATAAAAAATAAAAAAAAATATTACACGCGAAACGATCTCTCGCTGAAAAATAATTCTCCAATTAAAGGAGAAATAGTTTTCCGAATAACTTATACCTCTATAAAAAAGGAACAAAATTTACAGACGATAACAGGATACATTTTTCATATTTAAAAGACGATGAAAGATTGCCAAAATCTGCAATGACCTCGATAACCAAGGAAATTTTTTGAGAATTGTATTTCAACATGGAGCTTCAAGACATGAAGGCAGCACAAATCAGACCATAAATGGACTTCTAGCCAACATACTTTCCCCATTACTTATGGTATCCTGGAATTCATCCAACACAAGCGGATTTCGGACCGGGAGTACATCATGATGTGCCGATTCATCGAAACCGGACAAAATGAAAAGTAAATAACTGAAACCCACTCCAAAAATGCACAACACTAGTTTTATCTTCACTAGTTGTGCTATTAGATTTCCACAGAAGAAATTTAGGAGATCAGCTTCCACTCCGCAGTTGCTTAGTCTTGACAAGCTGGATGACATGATAGCAAAAGCAGCAGAGGAAATCAGGATATATATATCTGGTTTTACCTTAACCAATTTATCCCAGAAAAAAGTGTACACACAAATGATTGTGAAAACTGAAAATACTAAATGGACTTTGGGCCAAGGACTAGGTTGTCTTTGATATTTCTTTACAAACGAGAGAATGAGACAGATGATGATACACAAAATACTATAAACACATTTCTTCCACCAGATCCACTTTCCAAACAGGTAGGGGAAGGAGGAGCTCAAAGTGAAAAAGATAAATCCAACTATGCATGAAGCAACACTTACAAATCTCCATATCAAGATTTGGATGGTCATGTTCTTTCTGAAGTGAACTAGAATTGCTTGCATAGACTAATAGACAGAGCTAAGAGCTCACACACAAATCTCTACCTTTGGTTGCTGAATTTGAACAAGCCTTTCCCATTCTGAGAAATTTCGAGGAAATTAAGGAAACAAAGAAAAGGTTAAGTCTTCGGTCAACGCCTATGAGACTAATAGAGTAATGATGGTGGTGGGTAGATTAATCAGACCCTCCCCCGTGAAAAATGGTCACATGATCTTATTATGTTATCACAGTTACTTACTGATGATGATGAAATAAGATAGAAAAAAATATATAATTTTTAAATGAGTAATTGTAATCAGTGTTTTAAAATTTCATCCCGCTCCCGAGTTGACTCAGGTCAACTCTGACCCCTTTCCTATGAAGGTTGAGATCACAAGTTGAACCCTATATACCCAACGACCCCTCCCGAGTCAGAAGGGTCAAAGGAGATCACTGCATGTGTCTTTTTTTAAAAGAAAATTCTATGAAACAACGTCGTTTTATTAAAATAAAATAAAATAAAATAAAAATACATGCAAACCTAAATCTAATTGTTCTCTTCTTTCGGAGTGACCTAGACTCACTACAAAAAAAAACCGCTCTTTAGCCACATTCAGAAATGTGGCTAAATCACATAAAAAATGTGGCAAACAGAAGCTACCACACTTTTTGTAAATGTGGCTAATGATGGCGTAGCAATATTTTAGCCACATTATTTGTTTTACTTAGCCACATTCTGATTCAGTGTGGTAGCATATATTTAGCTACAATTAAAGTTAAATTTGGCACGGTTAAAATGTGCCTAAAATAGTTTAAAAAATTAAAAAAAAAATAGCCACACTACATTGTGGCTACTTTTTTACTTGCTGAAATTTAACGGAAATTTAACGAGAACAACATTTATTGTAGTCAAACACGGTATTAAATATCTGAGAAGTACCCATCGGTCCACAACTGACGGTTGACGGGAACAACACCCGTACCAACTAGAAGAGGAAAGAAGTAACTCAGAACTACTAGGATCAGAGCAAAAAACAGAGCTTTTGGAAGAGTTTTCTTTGGATTTTCCACTTCTCCAGAAAGAGTACTTATGGAGTCCCAATAATTAAGATTCCAAAATAGAGTATTCAAATACAAGTTCCAGTCAACATCATTTAGGTTTGTCACAGCCCATCTTGAAGGTTCTAAGTCTGGAATTGCCAACAACCCCATAGCCACAAAAGGTAGGAGTGAGAAAATCTCTAAACAAACACCAATCCCTCCCACAATGGTTAAACCCTTATAGTTCAAATAAGTGAGAAGTATTGTCAGACCCCAGGTTGCAACAACTCTAGGTAAGCCACCACCTACTGCAGGGATTCCTGACTTCAGATAATCAAGAAATAGAACTGGGTATAAAGCATTATCTATCACCCCACTCAGCCACTTCATCCATCCTTGCTGAAACCCCCAATAGGGACCCAAAGCAGAGGAAACCCAAACCACATAGCCACTGTTTTCAGGGAACATGGTACCCATCTCAGCAGTAATCAAAGCTTCAGGTCACTCATCTTTCCCCATTTATCACCTCTTTCCCTTCATTTGCTTTGCCCTCATAAAACGTCTGCTACACATTTATATGAATATTAGTTCCTCAAGTTAGCAATGATACCAAACAAACATCTTCAATATGCTTCTCATGATTGTTAAAACTTACTTAGTTTTACTTCATTTTCTATTGTGATCTTCAGTTTATGGATATATTATATATTTATATGAAGTGTAAATGTAATGACACCAATTACCTGGAGGAAATAACACCTGTCTCTGGCTTGTTCCCTAGACTGAGTTTCTTAAATGGGGTCTCGAATTTGTCGAGTAGTTCAAGCTCAAGCAAGGCATCCTCAATAGCCCGAGCCAACTGCTTATCATCATCAGCATTGTGGAAGCAGACCTTTTTCTTAGCATCAAGAACTACTTTTCCCCATACTGAGTCGCTGTTGCTCAAAGTTGATGCATTTCCTATTATCCAAAGACAATATCTACACAAAATAAAATGAGTTTTCAATCAAGACGAGCATATTTTCACAAGTTGAAAGCAGCACAACAGAATAACCATCATTATCAAGTTTAAATTTTATCAAGTTTAAGAACAAACAAAATTTTAATATAATAAGATGATACAAAAATTTAATATGAAAGAATCTATTCTTGTGTTGTTAAACACATAGCCATAAGATGCCGAAGTTTAAGACCACAAAAACTTATGCTTTAAGTCAGAAAATATACTTTTCAATGTTATGTTTTATATAATTTAAGAAATATATGTTAGAGAAGAAATAAATTATAGAATATTAAGTAAATTGAGTATATTATCAATTAAAAAAGATGTGCTAAAAGCAATTGATTATCAAAATTTAATCAACTACTTTGTATCTTAAAAAACAATATTAAAAATCATATTCTTAACAAGTAAAAAAAAGCACCAAATATGTTAAGTGCGCATTTTTAATATTAGAATATTAATGTGGAGTAAAGTTGAAATACAATTATTTTAATTACCTTAGTGTACGCAGTGGAGTCATATAGGGGAATGACTTGGACACATGCCATTTCCGGTGCCTTTGGTTTCAGGGAATAAAGGGAAAGAAAAATATACTAAACTCATTTCAATCTGCAACAAATACAAATGAAAATCATATTTCAATCTTTCATACCACTATATATTTCAAAAGTAGCACTTCATTTCATAGGATTATTACTACATATTTCAGTTACTGTCAAAAAATCATATTAAGATAACACTAGTAATTTCAAGCTTTCAGAAGGTGGTCAAATCTCATAATAGATGATGCTTGTTAATCCATAAATGAAAATGTTACAAGGACTCAAGGAGTACCTTCCAAGGCCAGCAGAAAAGTGGCTTTCTAAACTTGGCATTTAAACTTCAAATGTACCTGTGCTTCTCAAATTCGAACCTAGATTCATATGAGTATATGCACAAGTGTTGATGTTTGGCTAAATTATTTTTTTTATTCCTAAGCATAAGTATACAAGCAAGACATATATAAATTTTTGTTTATTTTGTTCTTATTAGTTAGTCTTGGTCATAATTAATTTTACCTTTTTGGTAAAAATAATTTCTTTTGTGTTGCTTCGCTTGCACTTTTCTTCTCTGTATCAGGAGAAAAGACCAAAGTGTCAATAAATATCAGATAAAGCACCAAAACTAAGTGAAATCAAAATAATAAACTGCAAATTTTGGAAAAGAACTGCATTTTCTTGTATGTATTTTGAATCAGGTAGATGGTGTGGATTAGTGGTTTTGTTCTGACTCAAGGTAAGTTAATGTAAGTTATCTTTGGCACTCAAAAATATTGATTTACTAAAGAAATAAAATAATTAAACCCTCTTAAAAATTATGATATAAAGGAAATGAACTATGTCTACTAGTCAAAAAGAAAAACTTCAGACAAAAGTAGTAACTGCACCGGGCGCATCACATAATGGGCTTTGGCATTCCCCAACTGTTCAGAATTTCAAACACATCCCTCATCATATCTGGAATTCACCATTTAATGACCCAAGTATCCTCAAAAGGAAAGAACTAAACTTATATCACGTTGGCATAAGGTTGAGCCAAAGACCTCATTTCATCTTCAGCATTACTAAGAAATTCCTTCAAAATCTGAACATTACCTAGTAAAAAAAAATCATTTTAGGTAAAGCTAAACATTTGATTACCACTAAAATGTATAGGCAAAGAAGTCTATAATTCGGATAAGTTGCGGATAACCCAAACAAAAGGGTAACTATGCCTGTGGGATACTTCACATCACTGGTAATCCTATATATGAGGCTACATAACAGACACAGATATGCATTAGTCTGTTGCAACTCTAGCTACAGAGTTCCATTGTCATACTATTAAAGCCAACTTAAAATTAAATATCTGTATTGTCATATTCTCGTTCAAAAAGGAGGTGCTTTCAAATGCACCCTTTGCTAATAGTCCTAATGATCTTATAAATGTGGGCTTCAACAGCTAATTTTTAAAGTGTTTGGATTTTACCTTTTGGGCAAGTCTTTGTCGTGAAAAGAAAACTAAAATCATGATCCAAGCAGTGTATGAAACAATGTTTTCATAATAGCAGCAATGTAAAAATAACATTCAATGACATATAACTAGAAATAAAAATCATCATCATGAGAGAATGAATGTACCTGTTGAATGGCTACTGCCCCTTGCCATGACTATGAACATCATGACAAAGCGAAAAAATGAAATTATTTTATTTTATTTCATTGTTAGGGAGAAGACCATAGCATAAAAGCCAAACAAAATTAAGTTTGATTTCAGAGTGTTACCAATTTATAGATTTTACTTTTAGAAATCTCAATCTCTTAAATATAACCATATATAACTTAATTCTAAAAACGAAAACGAAAATAAATGCTGCATTCAAGCTCTGGTTTGTGATTCGGCGATAGAGAAGAAAATCAACAAGAGAAATTGAATCTGAAAAAATAAAAGGAAAAAAGAAACAATTAAAAATTAGGTTTTACTAATTATGTTGTGCCTTGTTCGACTTTTTGGATGAAAAATCCTTGAATCTTTCATCGTGATTCTCTGCAGAGTCGAGCAAAGACACATTGGCTCATATACGACTTCATAGCCAAAGACGTCCTTGCCGAGTACGAGACTCCATGGTGGACTGCCGCCAAGAAAGTCGATGAGTCCGCCATCAACCACCTCATCGAAGTCGCTGACGGCCGCGATGTCAACGCCGTAGATGCTGACGACAGAACAACGCTCCTCTTCGTCGCCGGACTAGGCTCGGAACTGTGTCCGATTGCTGGCCACCGCGACAACAGCGGCGGCCTGGCGGCGCTTCACATGGCGGCAGGGTATGTGAGACCTGGCGTCGCGAAGCTTCTTTTGGAGCTCGGTGCAGATCCTGAGGTGGAGGATGATCGAGGAAGAACGACGCTGGATTTGGCGAGGGAGATTCTGAAGGTGACGCTGAAGGGGAATCCGATGCAGTTCTCGTGGAGGATTGGATTAGAGAGTGTGATTAGGGTTTTGGATGAGGCGTATTTTGGAGAAAGGAACGGAAAAAGGCTTAGGGGAGAAGAGAAACAATATAAAAAGAAAAAGAAAATAAATAAATGAGAAGCAAAATAAGCAAGAATAAGAAAAGATTTACTGTGAATGGAGTTGTTTTGCCACATTAAGTGCGTAGTAAAAATTGATTTTACGACATTAAATTTAAATGTGGTTAAGATAATGTCCCTAGACTCCGTCTTTTTCGTAGTGACTTGTGGTATATTGATAATTTAGTATCATTAGAATATGAGTTTTATACTTTGGTATCTTGATACTTTAATTAGGTTGTGTAATATTGACTTGTGGTTGTAATTGGTGAATTATGTTAAGTATATTTTGAATCTTTGATGATTGGTGATTTGCTTTTTAATATTTTCATATAGGATATATATATTCATATTTTTTTAATATATAAAGCCGGGTCCCCGTGACCCTCCGGTTGAACCCGTGACCCCTTGATCTCTGACCTCGGTCGGATCGATGGCCGAGCTGAATTTTTAAACACCGGTTATAATCAAATAACATGATGTCATAAATATTTTTTTCACATAAAAAATGCACTCCCATAAATTAATAGAGTAACGTAGGATGTATAAATAGGCTATTTTAAAAAACATGCATTAAAGGAGGTAATACATTAATGGATTGGGTCGCACATTCATATTGGAGTCGTACATTAATATTATTTTAATCAAATGAACGTGCTAATATGGTTGAAAAGCCGGTTTTGATTCCTTTGCTTTCTGAAAACTAAGGCCAATTGAAAAGGAAAAAGTTGAGGTGAGTGATAACGTTCCCAAAGAAACAAATATTTTAAGCTGACTCTGCTTATCAAAATTTCTCTCTCAATTTCCATTAATTGAATTTGTTTGATTTTGTTTCTATATCTCTCAATCGTTAGTGGAAGTGGAGATACTTTTTATGTAAACACAGTCCTGTAATTTTCTCTGGCCTCACGTTGTGCACTCTTAAGAAATCACTTAAATTCGCAAAAGATTATTAAATAGTTTATTAGTTCAGATTTAAAAGAAAATTGTTGATAAGTTGATATTTTAAATTTTAGTTATCTTATTATGAAGCATGAGGTCATATGTTGTTATCAAACACGCATTGAACTCTTGAGATTGATTTTAAATTATTTTACAATATCTTTAAATGCGTGTTATCATACTTATGTTGTTGATTGAACCTTGACTTTAGTGGCTCTATTGTAGAAGTTTCCATCGTGATTTTTGAGCTTTTGCTTTCTGAGGTTAGTTTGAATGTTTTATGGGTTTTATAATTCTCATGTTGAAAGAGAATTGAAATCTCATGTTGTAGAGATAAAAAATATGTGAGATCCATGTGTTAGAAAAAAATATATGTAAGATCCAAGTCAGCACGAAAATCGAAGAGTGTGTAGGAAAATTATAATTCTCATGCTAAATGAGAATTATAAAACCCATGTTTTATAGACACAGAAGTTTAGAGTTTAGTCTATTATGCGAGTTGGTCACCGACATGAGTGCATGATTTTTTTATTTTTGTCATGTACATTAATATGTGTGCAGGGTTCTTTTTCTCTCTTTGCATCTGTATCTATTGTAATAGAAAAAGATATTTGTGTTTTTAAATGATACAATTTATATCATTTTAATTTTTCACAAAGAAATAAGATGCATATTTTTATTTTATTTTATTTTGTGTCCACTCTCATCCCAATGATTTATCTCTTTCTCTTATTTAAAATGATATAATTTTACATCTTTTAAAATTCTATTCACTTTTCCCATTGTAATATGGAATAAAAGTATAGAAAACCATTGGAATATGTAATATTTTATAAGCAACAAATTAATGTCGAAAACAATCAGAAGAAAAGTGGTTCAGGAAATCATGTGCTGAAATGAGATGTCTTTAAGTGTACTACTTTTGATGCTTAAAGAGCTTTTGAATTTAACTATTAGCCACATACTTTTATTTAATATCTTGTTCCTTGCTACCATGAATCTAAGCATAAAACGTCAGTATGTATAAACTCTAAGCTAAAGATTATTGCTTGTGCTACAATATGCGGTGATGAGAGTAGGGAGTAAATAGTTCTTTGATATGTGGGTTGGATTGTAATATAGTCAAAAATTGAAGTGCTTAGAGTCTAGATGCGCTAAGGTAGGAGAGTTGAATAAATTTTGGCCAAATAGGTTTACTATGGGGAGGAAGTTCTTAGCATCAGAGGCGCTTTCTGTAACATCTCCGTCTCGAGCCGGTTCAATTAACATACATATGATAAAACAGAAAACAGCGGAAGACTTAACTTCTGAAAATACGAGCTAACTTTTTCTTTTTCTTTTTAAATTCTCATTCGTCGTGAACGAAAATCGGGCAGAGTTTCCTCTATAAATCGGACAACTGGGGATTTTCCAATCCCACTCAGAAGCATTTCCTGATAAACAGTTTATACAACATATCAATTCAGAAATACCAGATATCCAAATATAATCGAATACCCATACATGGGCGCATGCATAACATGGCTCCGTGCCACTAAATCTAACAGCATGCCATCAAAACATAAACCTATCTGAATACTACATCATCATATAACGTTCCTGAATACTCAAATGTACATGCATCAAACTGACAGACATGTACAAAACATATACAGGCCATATACAAAATAAAGGATCAATATCATGATCCATCAAATGCGAAAATACTAAAATACATCAAACACTCCAAAAAGGTAGCAGCCTACAGCCACTCTAAATCCGGTCTGTCAACTGCCTCAGCCACGTGTCGTGTCCCTGCCTAGTGAGGACTCACCGGAAATCTGGGCACCTGAAAATGTGTCCCCAAAGAGGGGTGAGATTACAAATCTCAATAAGCTCCAGGTTTATAGAGAATTCTCCATACCCCTGGCTCACTCCTGCATGAAAGCCAGATACAAAGTATACGAATACAACATATAACAGATATCATAACAGAACAGAGCATATATCCATATCATATCAGAGATGTGCGCCGTCATTCCCAAGGGAGGACCCCAAGCGGAAATCAACGCACGTGTTCCCGAGGGAGGACCCCAAAGCGGAACCAGACATATCAGAGGAGTACACCATCAGTCCCGAGGGAGGACCCCAAAGCGGACGTCCGGGTACTATACAATCAATGGCCAGAGATTGTTACAGAAATCATATTACAGAAGTCATATCAGAGCAAAACATATCATGTTATCAAATAACTCTATATGAATGCATCTATACAAAGCATCTAAATCACAGTCATACAGTCCAACCATAGTTCACTAACCATGGTGGAGCACTCAAGCAGGAAAAGACTCCTTAAACATAGAGCTTACCTCTTGAAGCTTTACCAATACGCTTACTTGTGGAACAAGTTACTTTTATCACTTCAAGAGATTTCCGATCCTTCTCAATCCCTAGGCACACCTAGAGAATAATTTACAATGCATCAATAAAATGATGCAATACCATAATTATTTCATAAGCATACATTTTATCGCTTATTTTCCTTTCTTTGCATTTTTTGCCAATCCTATGCCAATACACAAGTCTAGACCCCTTTATAACCGTTGGTGTTCTTTAATTTAATCAACCATTCCCTTAGGAATTTTCAACATAAATCATGCTACTTTTCTTCAAAACTCATCACTTTTATACAATTTATTACTACACATTTTATTTAAAATAAAATGTACAAATATATCCCTAAATACCCTATAGGTCGAATCCTATAAGGGGGATTTCCAAAGATCCATCTCTTTTACAATACATTTTCTTTACTTCCTTACAACTTGCAAACACCTAGGCATGCATCCACTAGGTTCCTATTTTGAGTTTAGACACCAAGTCCTTCACAACACATCAAGGCCGAAACATCAAGGTATGTTTCCAAGGATTTTCTTTCCAATGTAATATTCTTACTAATTCATCCAAATTCTACTTACTTGAACAAATAAAACCCCTCTTAAAGCATAAACTAAATTGGCACAATAAATCCTATTAACTCTATCAAAGGCCGAACATAGAGAGGAAATACATGATTTTTCTCTAATTTTTTTACATACTTACAAAGCTTCTTTTCATTTCATACATCAAAATATCAACTATTCCTCATCAATGCATATTCTAACACATCATGCTTTCCCACCCAAGGCATATACACAATTTTATAACTTAAATTATCAAAACAACATCATGTAAATAGAGGTTTGTTACCTCAAATCAACTACCCAAAGCCTAGAAGACCTACACCAAGAGAATCTCCATCAAAAACTTCATTTTGCCCTCTTGATGAATAGTGCACGAATTTGGGGAAGGAAATATCTCCTCACACAACCAATGATAGCTCAAATAAATGGGTGGGATGGATTCATTGAGTGGTTTCCAATCAATTTCATGTGGTGGATCATTGGATTTGGTGGATGGATGATGTAGAAATCAAAGAAAGAAAAACCAAACCCTAAGCCCCCCCTTGTCCAAGTGCAGATCGGTTTTGGAAGAAAGAGAAGAATGGAAAGCTTATGTGAATAGTGATCTTTAAAGTGACAAGGCTTTATAACACATGTGACCTTTTAACAGATATTTTTCTTTCGCGTATTTTCACTTAGACTGACCCGGAACTAACTCAAAGCTACAAACATATTTTTATTTCCTAAAATCATTTACATTAATTTTTATCTGTTACAAAACAATATTCATAATTCACAGTATGGTTTCTGCACCGTTTTTGACGAAATGCACTGTGAATCACTAATTGTACTTTATTTACTTTTTAAAACTTAACACTTATAAACTTATCATTTTCTTGGGCCTATATTGACTTGCTTGGCATATATTGGACTTTCTTATTCTTATTTCATCAATTATTTATTTCTGGACTCTACCGGTTGCTTAAACAGCAGTACAAAATACCCGGTAGAAATACTATTCACGAGATTTTCACGGAAAGTGCCAGACTATACAATTTTTCGTTCTGAACTCATATTTGTCATCAGAATTTTCAAATTATGTTCCTAAAATTATTTTGCTCATTTTAAGCTCTACCGGTTAATTCACAAAACTGTAAATTCTCCGGCAGAACGCACTGTTCATAACATAGTCATGATTACAGTCAAAATACTCGAAATCGCTCACTGAATCTAATTATGGCATTTAAATCCTTAAATTAAATCTCTAACTAAGATTTACCAGTTAGGGTCATTATACTTTCTGTGAGGAGAATGCCATATTTATTTTTAGGAAACTTTGCAATCAACACCAAAAGGTAGATCGACAGACCTTGGAGAGCCTATGCCTTCACCCGTCATTCGTCAGACACATGACCCTCCCCTCCTCCAGTGGCACGTTTTAACCGACGTTCGTGCATCGAGGGTTTACCTCTTCACCACTCGACTCCGCCTGTTGCAGATATGTTTGTTATAGTACATATAGAATGGAAATATTTTGCAAACACCATTGCCGATAACCAATCATTATTGTGTCGGCTGGCATGAAGGACAATGACGCGTATAATGACCAATAACCCTATAATAACCACATCTTGTGCGAGTAGTCGACCCTCCTCGCAAATCCATTTCATTGTGTATATGTGTACTTCTTAACCTTCCTCTTCCAAAATGACCACTGGCTCCTGTTAATGTCGATGAAGTCAATGGATGGGATAGAATGTTGACTTATTGACTATCCACAAGAGTTTACTTTCGCATACAGTTCGATAAATGTGGAGTCTTTATGATCTCGAAATGTGTCTACTACTAACGCTATATCTTCATCCTCGACAATCTCCACAATAACTCCCTGCACTAGGTTATCCAAAAACACATCTAGCAATCAATTGAGAGAGAGATTTGTTGGGTATGTCTCATACTTCACATGATGATGTTGGCCCTAATTGTCGGGGTCAGCAGAAAGACTTGTAATCCTATTTATTATTTGCCTTGTAAACCGAGAGACTTGTAACGAGTGGCGGTGAGGTGAATATAGTACAGACAAGCTGGACGTAGCCTATATTGGGTGAACCAGGGTAAATCATCGTGTCAATCTCTCTACTCTTATCTCTTTTTCTGTTTTCTCGATTCTGTGTGATTGTCGATTTCCAACAAGATTGACCTCGTTGTAATCTCAACTTCTTATTTATTATCTTCTTCTGGTCATTATAATTACATCATGGACTAATGCAAAACATTTTTGCATCTCCTTCAAAAACTTGATCATTCGGTCTAAAATATCTCCTCCCATTATAATATACAATGGCGATTAAATCATTCTTACTGACACTTCTTATGCAAAAATAAAAATGAAAATAACATATAAGAAGAAGAAATACCAGGGGCTTAAAAAATAAAACAACTATATTTTTGAAGGAAAAAGGAGTGTGGTGAGTTGGAGAAATTGAAATGAGGATGGGTATATATAGCACTAAATTCACTAGACCTTATAACGAATTTGTCACGTGTCAGCAGAAAATCGTTGTGCCCAATAGCGAATTTCTCAGTGGCTGTCACATGTCATTTTTTCTCAGAGCAGTATCTATTTCGTTATGCCCCATAGCGAATTAGGTATTGCCTGCCATGTGGAGGTTAGATAAGCTCAACTAGTTTGCTATGCCCGATAGCAAATTTCTATGAGGCTGCCACGTGTCTTGCTTTTCTCATAGTAGAGATTGACATTTGACCACTTAGTTTACTTTTATTAATAACAAATTAGGTAGCCACAAAAAATATGCTACATCCTCAAAGAAAATTCGCTATCTGATGTAATAAATTTGTATGTGTGACATATTGAGAAATTTTACTATTTACATGATATATTAATTTTTTTATTTTTTGAAAATAGTGACATTATAGTTAGTGTCCCTGCCGTCAACACCAAAAGTTAAAAGCAAAGGTTGTTCTTCTCTTTCTTCCATGAAACCCACCGCTTCACTTTGCAAGTATATTTTTATTTTTATTTTTATTTTTTTTACGGTGCTTTGCATGGATAATGGAGATGTTGTTTTTCCAACCAAGTCACACATTTTCGTATCATTATCGCAATCTTAATAGCTAAGTCTATGTAGCACTTAGCACACTATTATGGACCTTTATGAATGTTCTAGGCTGTGCGTATCTAACACTCCCATCGCTAAAAGTGATTGATTCCTTTTGCGTTTTCCTGGCCCACTCATATCGTTGTTTATTTTTTCTTTAAATTATATTATATTTTAGCTAAATTTTCAACTTGATACAGTTTTGCATTCTTCCGTAAGCGAATTCATAATTGTTTTCCATATCATCTCAAAGGACTGTTTGGAAGAAGATAATTTTTTTTTCTTAGGAAGCTTAATTTTTAAAAATATGATTTTTACGTTCAGTTTATTATAATATTCAAAACTTTAAAATTTAAAAAAAAATTAATTTCCCGAAAATGCTAGCAAAAGCGACGTACTAAACGGCCCACGAGCTTTTGTCTCACATCACATTCACAGTCAACAAGGCAATATAAGAAGACTTTTTTTTTTCGGTAAACATATAAGAAGACTTTAATTATTGGGTGGATCCACACACCGCGTCATAAACCAAATAATCCATTTTAGAATAAATCTTCTATGAGTCCTAGGTCGGAGAAACTATATTTTGTGTTTTACAAATAAATTTTTAAAATTTAAAATGTTTTATTTGATTTTTTATTTTTTATTTTACAAACTAGTTGAATTTATCTTGATTCCGAAGGAAGTCTAATATTTTATTGTGAGGAAGGAGAGGTCAGGCAAAAGTTATATATATATATATATGTTTCTTTTTTCTCATGTCACATGAGATATTATAGACACAACAAGTGGTGAGACTCACCACTTGTTAAAAAAGAAGAAAAAATAAAAAAGGATAGCATGAATTTCGATGTCTCTTAACATGAGAAAACTATCTCCTATTACATGAGAAAATAATTTATATATATATATATATATATATATATATATATATATATATATATAAACTTGACCAATATGAGATTTGTTAACCTTCACTTAATAGTATAGTTTATCATGCTACTAGAGCCCCTGTTACGAAGAGATCAGAAATTTAATTCTTATCGTGGGCACTTTAATATAAAATCTTTGACAGACGTTGACTTAACACCTTAAATTTTTAAATAAAATAGCTATCTTTCAAGATTCAATCTAGAGATCAAGTATGTTTTGATTTTTTTATAATCTAATTTGATCAAAATTTTCTTGTTAATTATTGTATTTTTTAATTATTGGCTTGCATTATTGTCAATGGTTTATGGTATACCATTTCTAGAATGGAGAGCTATTGTTGGCATGCAACATGAGATAAAATTATCTCTATTTTGTGCAGCCCAAAATTATGTTATTTTTAGGGTTGAAAGAATTAATGAAAGATATTTTAGAAATTTTATTTGTTTATTTGTTATAAAAATTTTACCAAAACACCATAAAATTAATTCCTAATCCTCAAAACAATTTAGTTCTAGGGTTTCTAAAAATAATTTTATTTTCTGTTGCAAGAGAAAGAATAATCCTAAATATATATATATATATATATATATATTAACCTTTAATTAATTATATAATTATATATTTTTAATAAAATTAATAAGTTATTCATTTTTTAAAAGGGATGATCGGTTAGTGCAACACAATAGAGTGAAAAAAATTAAAAAGCTACACTTCCCGATACTCTCGGACACTCTGACACTCCCCGACACTCCAATACGCGTTACAGAAATTCAAAAAAAGATTCAAAGGTTGATTTGCATTGAATTTTTAGTTTCAACTATTAGATTCGTTGGATTACGATAATCATTTTATTGAGTTTAATATAAATATTTGGGATATGTTATGTTTCTTTGCAAAATTTATGAATATTATAAGTTTAGATTCATTTTTTTGTTAAATTATTGAATATTAAATATAATATACATTATATAAACTAAAAATATTATTTAATATCAAAACGTGTCTTAACGTGTCGAAATCTAACATTCTTTAAAATTAACGCGTCAGAGTGTTGTGTCGTATCGTGTCACGTGTCCCGTGTCGGTATCGATATTACGTAGCTATTAACAATAACCAAGGGCCAAACTAAATTTCTACGAATAGAAAATTAAGAGTTTTTAATAAACTTCCAAACACAGGACCAATCAGTTTCGCAATCTATCATAATTTATAGTTTTATCTCACTATAATTCATAAACACCCCCTTTATTACATGTTTATATATAGTTCAGGGAAAATCATAAGCTCCCTCAGCATATTGCTCAAGGTTTGTAGCATCGTTCATGAACCTTGCCAGTTCTGAATTATATGATGCTCCCTTAATTGCTTTATACTCATTCCACCAAAGCATATAGCTGCTTTCTGCCAAGAAAATCTCTGGTGACACTTCATAAATCTTGAGCTGCCCATAAACATAATCCTCAAATTCAACCAATTTCTTCATTGTCTCTTCATCCTCTTGGGCATCCTTCAACTCTTTGCATGAAAGGAGAGCCTCTTCAACATGTGCCCAAAAGCAAGAATCTTTGGTTAAAAGAGCTTCCACATTCTTCTTAAGTAATGCAATGGTTAAGGGGCATATTGTATCTTCTGTTGTTCCTTCCTTTAACCATTTCTCCAACATTTTAAAATGTTTAGGCCTTTTTTCAGTCACATAGTCTTTATTACCTTTCACTTTATAGTATTTAGCAATAACAAGTGGTTCAACCATTCTCCTGTAATTAGTCCCAGCACCAAGCCAGCGCTTACGAAAATTTGAGCCTTCTTTCTGAGGCTTTGTCTCTGCCACTTCAACCATCTTTACCCAGTAATCTGTGAGTTTTTTCTTGAACATATCAGCTTCTTTGTCACTTTCTAAGAGCATCTTCTTGTAGCTATCATAGTACCCTATGTTTCTATCTTTACTCTCCTTCTTGTACCATTCAAGTTTGACCATGTCTATCTTCCTTACATTCAAATTCACGTATGGATCAAATACTAATCTACTCATCATCTCCTCGCGTTTCTCTTCATCTTTTGTCATCTTGGCGACATATTCCTTCATATCTTCCGGCTACCAAGTTAAAAAATGAGGTCAGGAAAAATTGGATTTACTTTAAGTTTAACAAATACTAATCTGATTACATATGTTAAATATCAGGATAAGAGAGATTTATGAGTAATCGTGTGTTTGAAACTACACAACGGAGATTCTATTATATAACTGAAAAGAAATGAAATACAATGAGATATACATAATGTGGGACTTCTAAATCACTATTCTACCACTATTCTTAACAACATATAATGAGTCTAAATAAGGCTCAAATAGATAATTCAAGTTTTTTTACGAAATATAAGATGTTTACCAACCTCCATAGCTGTTGGCAATCCTAGTGCTGAAAGCGGCAAAATGATACTTGCAAGTAGTGTATATGTATTTGTTCCTCCGCTCCTTCTGTGCTGGGTTTGAACCGGGTTCTTTTTGGGTAATAAACAAGCTCCAATCCGACCAAGTAGTGTGTTAGTTTCGTCTTCCGTATCTGTATTAGTTATGTCTTCAGGCAGAGTTGAAAGGTCCTTGAACAGAGTTCTTTGTTTGAGTATATTCACTATCTCACCATATTTAACAGGTTGAGAACCTTGATTTTCATCGTGTTCTGAGTCAAATTTCCTGAGTAGTCTCAAAATAGAGCCAGGGTTCTCAAAAGAAGCAGAATTTTCATCAGAACACAAGAGAAATGTTCCAAAAGGCATGTAGGCATTGGTTTGAGAATCATGGTTTGTAATGAAGAGTCTTGGAAGTGGGTCTTTGTGTGACACAACATGTAGAAAGCAAGAATTCCAATTAGAACTACGTGATATGGCTTGTTGCAATCCATTGTCACCAATAAGGGGTGAACCAAAGGTGATGCAGAGTGGGCGATTCTTTCCTGAATCAATGCTATTTAAAAGTGATATAGTGAAGAGAGAAGCAACTGATCCTCCTAGAGCATGTCCAGTAACAATCAATGTTTTGGAGCTATCAATCTGCATGAAGATTGTTACATCATGGTTTACCGGGGAAGAACAATATATGGCCAAAGCATAAACATGTAGAAAAGAATCAACACTATTCTTAATACAAAATTCACCCCCACAATTGCTATTAAGTTTAATGAAAAATTATCCTCATTGGAGAAAACCAATTTAGTTACAGAAAATGAGTGTAGAAAAGAAGAAAAGGAAGTTAAGTAGATGTGCTTTTAAAATGTAAACATATAAAAATATACATATTTCAAATAACACCAACCAGTCCACACATCAATCTTTACATTTGCATTGAAATTGGAATAGACTTTAGAATAATGAAAAGGAAAAAGGAGGAGATGTACCTCGGATTTCAACTGATTAAGCTTATTGAGATTTTCAATGAAGAGGGAAACTGCAGTGTTGTTAACAGAGAAAATTGGATTGCTTTCAGTACGAAGAAAATCAAAGTCATAGAATAACATCTTCTCCTTTAGATCAGAAGACGTAACCAAATCCGGTTGAGGATCAGAAACTTGTTTGGCCTTAAAAGCTATAATCCTCACATCTGAATCTTTGTTATAATACCATGATACTCCCTCTCCCTCTTCTGAAACTTTGCCTCCATCAAGATCCGAGATAACTTTCCATGATCTTTGGAGAAGATCAGAGCTTGTTACAAAAGGTGCAAGCCCCATTTCACCTTTAAATCTGCAACCACAAAGGACACAAAATCCAACACATTAGCAATGCTATAATTAAGAATCACCGGTTCATGTTACTATCTTTTATGAAATTTTAAGGAACAAACCAAAACCCAAAAAGGAAGAAGGAAGAATGACTCATTGATCACATACTTCATAGATGGGTCCATGGTGCTTCAAAGAACTAGAAGCAGTGATGGAGATGATGGTTATGGAGAAGAAGTGCTATGTTGTTGATTAATAATAACCATAATGTCTCTGAATTATTTATGCATCGCAAAGAATGGAGTTAGGTTAAGTCAACCCTGCGTCAACCTTTATTCATCAAAATTGAGAGAATGCTAGACAAGACAACAACTAAGTAGTTAAATTAAGGATGATTTAACATAATGTTTTTTTGGGAAATATAAGTGTTATGTTACATGAAAAATCTCTACTTTTCTACAAACTCAATACAGCATGAGACTCACTTCAACTTTTTTTGCTTTTTACTATACAATGGGGTCCACAGTATTTTTGTATCTGTAATGGTGTCATGTTACATGACAAACTATTATAATTCTTATCTTGTCTTGTCCCTTTCTTCCAATTCTCTTCCTTTTACCCTTAATTTGTCATAGTTAATGGTGAATAATCTTGTAATATATGTATCCATACAACTAATATTAATGGTAGTGTAAGTCTTGGGGTTAACGCTTGAGAAAGGTGTGAGCAAGTGCTAGGAAGTTTCAATGAACTTGTTTCTGCAAGTTGCTTGGTGACCGCGTTGCTGAATAAAAAATTCATGACAGAAATTACATGAGTTTTTCGGGTTGAGTTGTAGCCGTACCCAAAATAATAATGATAGAGAACACTTTAGGAATACCTTTAATCTAGGATTATTATTATTTTTTAATTAGTAATGTTTCTATGGTTCAAAACTTCTATATCTCTCTTTAATACGGTTAATATGATTAACACATTTTATACTTTTATCTTGCAGCTATGACCATATCCATATACTGGGATTTGGGACTTTAGATATGAAACAATAACTACCATGTTCCCTTATGTTTCAAGGGGACATGAGGGAATTTAAATCCCAAAAATAGGCCTACACTATCTAGTCAGAAACAACAAAAATATTACTAGTCAATTACATATTCCTGTCCAAATGTGAACATGTATATAGCTTCCTGCATACTTTCTGACATATCCATGAGATCAACTTCAACAATGTCGGCGACTGAATACTTGAGATGGTAATTTCTTCCAGCTTTTTCTCTCCCTATATAGTTGTCATCAGCATTAGCGAAGAAATTCCCAAAAAGGAGGGGGTGGGTAATAATAGAAGAAATATACGAGGGAGATAAAATGAAAAGAAAAACAATTGGCTCACTTTGAATACTATTATGCAAAACAGTTATTTAGTTTTCAAAACAAAAAAACTAAAAATTTCGTTTGGTAAGACCTGTTTTGTAAAAAATATTTTGAAAATTATAACTGTTTTTTTGTTTTTAAAATCAAATTTAGAGAACATGTTTGAGTTGTTTTTGTTTTCTGTTTTGGTTTTTAACTTTCAAAAAGAAAAAAAAAATATAAAAAACAATTGTTTCCATAACTATTTTACAAAATAATTTTAAGAACAAAAAACCAGAACACAATCAGACAGGCCCAAAAACGCTTAAAAAAAATGTTAACTATTGGGAGAATTAATTCCGTTATAATGTAAATGTTCTTGATTTAAACAAAATTGCCTACGTGTGTGTATATATATATATATATATATATATATATATATATATATATATATATATATATATATATATATATATATATTTTGAGCTGATCAGCTGCCCACGGGTTGGTATGCTTTAGAAAATAAGTAAAAATATTAACCCATCTTGTTTAAGTGTAAATTGGTAGGTCAATCCATTTAAATAATAATAAAAAATTAATTAATTTAGCACAGGTAGGCTTAGCCTGTTGCATTGTCCACTCTTCAAGTCCAATGAACTCTCGTGTGAGGGGGCTTGTTGAGATATATAGTCCCACATTGGTTGTATGTGCAACTAATGTGGAATTTATAAGGTCTCGGGCACTCCCACCCTTTGAGCTAGCTTTTGGGGTAGTGTATCCCAAAATTCTTTACATGGTATCAGAGCTTGAGTGACTATAAGGTCACAAGGTCGATTCTCACGACCCCCCACTTTCAAGTGGAATTAAAATAAAAAGCACAAAAAGGTAAACCAAAAATTAGGCCCGTGCAATTCCACGCTTCTAGCCCATAGGGCTCTTGCGTGAGGGACGTGTTGAGATATATAGTCTCACATTGATTGTGTGGGCAACTAATGTGACCTTTATAAGGCCTTGGGCACTTACACCGTTTGAGCTAACTTTTGGGATGGTGACCTCAAGGTTCTTTACATGAGTTATATAGTGTTATCTAATTCAATCTCACATTCTCATTCATTTTTTCTAATCCCAAGTCTAAATAGCAAAAACTCTTTTTTTTTCTCTAGGAATAACATTTGTCATAAATCAAAGTGTTTTTCTCTTTATCTTTTGTAAAGGACATATGAGATAAAAATCTTGGATATCACGAAAGCTTGGCATGACAAATAAAACACTACCTGACAATAAAAAAAATAGACTGAATACCACCGTACTAAGACTGTATAAGCAGTGCATGCCATTACTATATAAAAAAAGGCTCAATGCCCAGATATGGTCATCTTCTTCATTATAATTTAAGCTCATTGATTTAATAATAACTCAAGTGTCGGAATGCCTTGCTAGTACCTCCTCCTATCTGTCCAAACCAAAGAAAGGTTTCAAGCATAGGTACATCCTTGCCGCTAGAGTAACCCGCATCAAAACTCATCTTGTTGCATATTAATCTCAGATTCCAACTGAACTAGACTCAATCGTGTGTATAGTGAGGGCCAACATCTCTTAGACCTATCAATACTCGTTCAAACAAGTCATTTAGCTGTTATCCTTCAGCAAAATCTCTTGTGATACTGCATAATTCTTGAGCAATCCATAAACATACTTCTCAAATTCAAGAAATTTCCTACTTGCCCCTTCCTTCTCTGTCACGTTAGATTTTGCATCCTTCAACTGTTTGCACCAAAGGAGAGCCTCTTCAACATGTTCCCAAAAGCAAGAATCAATGGATAAAAATGATTCAACTTTCTTTTTACTTGTACTGCTTGAAAGAAGTATCTTTTAAAAGGGATAATGGTCGGTGCAAGAGAGTGGAAAGACAAAATTTGAAGGGAAAGCTGCCACACCCTGCCTCTATGAAAAGCTCCACTACTAGCAAGAACCAACACCAAAGCTAAACAACTAGGAATAGAAATAAGAGTTTAATAATAGAGTACCAAATGCAAGAGTAATCCGTTATTGCAATCATATCCTAAAGTATTACACTCTTGAGACAATAGCTTTATTACATGATTATGATAGTTCAGGGAAAATCATAAGCTCCCACAGCATATTGCTCACGCTTACTAGCATCATTCATGAAACTTGCTAGTTTTGAATTATATGAAGCTCCCTTAATTGCTTTATACTCATTCCACCAACGCATATAGCTGCTTTCTGCCAAAAAAATCTCCGGTGACACTTCATAATTCTTGAGCAGCCCATAAACATACTCCTCAAATTCAACCAATTTCTTCAATGTCTCCTCCTTCTCTTTGGAAACCTTCAACTCTTTGCATGAAAGGAGAGCCTCTTCAACATGTGCCCAAAAGCAAGAATCTATGGTTAAAAGAGCTTCCACATTCTTCTTACTTGAAGTGGTTGAGTCACTTGTGGCTTTCTTTTTTCCTTCCTTCAACCACTCCTCTAACTGTTTAAAATGTTTAGACCTTTCTTCAGTCACATAGTCTTTACCTCCCTCCCTATAGTATTTAGCAATGGCTAGGGGTTCAACCATTCTCCTGTAATTAGTCCCAGCACCAAGCCAGCGGGTACGAAAATTTGAACCTTCTTTCTGAGGCTTCATCTCTGCCTCTTCAACCAACTTTTCCCAGTAGTTTGTGAGGTTTTTCTGGAACTTTTCAACGTCTTGGTCACTTGTCAAGAGCATTTTCTTGTAGCTGTCATAGTACCCTATGTTACGATTTTTAGAATTCTTCTTGTACCATTCAAGTTGGGCCATGTCTACCTTCACTAAATTCAATTTCTTGGATGGATCAAATGTTTCCCTCTTCTGGAAAACGAATTTATTTTCCAGTATTTCCATCTTTGTTACCAAAGTGTTGATATCAATTTTATGCTGTTGTTGCTCCTGCCAAATCAATTTTAGAAAAGAGCTAGATCAGAAAAAAAATTGGATTGACCAAATACTAATCTAATTTCTAATAAGGTTCAAACGAGTTCAAGTTGTTTAAGAAATATAATATATTCAGCTACCTGTGTGATTCCTAGTGCCCACAACTGCAAACTGATGCTTGCTTTCAGTGAATTAGAATAAGTCATGCCTTTAGCCTGTGCTGTAAAGTCCTTGCAAATTGCTTTACGATGGAGATTTTCCACTATGTTTCCATATCCTACGGATTGAAGTCCATGATTTTGATCACGGATTGAGCCCAATGCCACGAATACTTCAAAAACAGATTCAGGGTTCTCAAAACAAGTGGAATTTTCATCAGAACACAAGAGAAATGTTCCAAAAGGCATGTAAGCACTGGTTTGAGGGCTCAATGCAGAGGTGAAGAGCCTTGGAAGTGGATCTTTGTGTGACACAACATGCAGAAAGCAAGAATTCCAATTAGAACTACGTGATATGGCTTGTTGTAATCCCTTGTCACCAATAAGGGGTGAACCAAAGGTGATGCAGAGTGGGCGATTCTTTCCCGAACCAATGCTATCCAATAGTGATATGGTGAAGAGAGAAGCAACTGATCCTCCAAGAGCATTTCCAGTAATAATCAATGGTTTGGAGCTATTAATCTGCATTAACATTGTTATATAAGGGTTTAAGGGGGTTAGAGCATCATATGCCTAGAAACATGGAGAAGATCTACACTATTTTTAAATTTAGCCCACTATATTTGCTATATGGTTAATTGAAAATTATCCTTATCCCCATAATTATATCCCAATACCACAGGTAGTAACCCTTAGCTAAAACTCTATTCTCACGAACTCCTTTGAGAAAAAAAAAAACAGTGGTTATAAGAAATGATGAAGAAAAGAAGTAAAACTGTTAAGGGAAAGTGCTTCTAAAACATAAACTATACAAATATAAATATCCATATTTCAAATCTTTTCTAAATTCATACCCCGAAAATACTTTTCATATGTGAGACTTGGGAAAGTCACCTCTAATACAAGTTAATCCAACAAGCACTAATCCATCCCAGACTATCAATCAGAGTTGTCGCTCTTTGTCATGAACACTGCTTGTGGATAGGGAACTAGATTTGCAAAATAAAAAACAGCACTATGCTGATAATATTATTACATATATGAAAAATAAAAACTCCCCATTCTTCTTTCTTTCTTTCTTCTTCTTTTAAAGAAACTGTAAAGCTATCAATTTGATATTTCGGTGTTCATGACTGATTCCAAAGTCAAACAGCTCAATTCACAAGACTGTTAATAATAACTTGGATCAGACCACAAATCAATTTCTAGATTTGCAGTGAAATAAAAAAAAGTTGTTCACACAGTCCACAGTTCAATTAGAATCCAAATTAAGTTAAGGCTCAAATTGAAAACAGTAAGAGACTTCAGAATAATGAAAAGGGAAAGTGTGGTAGATGTACCTCGGATTTGAATTGATCAAGCTTCTGACGATTTTCATAAAAGAGGGAAACTGCAGTTTTGTTAACATAGAAAATAGGATTCTTTTTAGTACAAAGAAAGTCAAAGTGAAAGAGCTTCTTATCCCTAAGATCAGAAGATGAATCCTGATCCGCTTGAAGATTAGAATCTGTTGTAACCTCAAACACTATAATCGTCACATCTGAACCCTGTTCTTTATAAACTTTCCACGAAAGTCCCACTCCCACGTTTGAAACGATGTCTTCTTGACGAGATGAGATAGCATCCCATGTTCTTTTGAGAAGACCAGAGCTTGTCACAAAAGGTGCAAGCTCCATTCCACTACTAAATCTGCAACCACAAAGGGACACAAAATCCAAAACAAGCAAATACTATAAGAAGTGAGGTTACAAACCAAAACCCAAAAAAGGGAAGAAGTAGTATGATTAATTGATAACATACAGTATGGTCATGGTGTTTGACAAAGTGCTGAAGGATATAGGAAAACTTGAACTAGAAGCTTGTGATGCAGTGAGTTTTTGACAAATGACGGAGATGATTGTTATGAAGGGAAAGAATAGCTATGGGGTTGATTTATAATGAGCATAATGTCAATGAATGGTTGATGCATTTCAAGAGAATGGAATTGCGTTAGTCAACACACTGCGTCTACCTTTATTTATCATAATAATCGAGAGAGATGCTAGACAAGACAACTGGGTTGTTAAATTAAGGATGATTTAACATAATGTTTTTTTTTTAATATTATTCTTGTCCCTTTCTTCCTATTATCTTCCTTTTTTTTCCCATTAATTTGTCGTAGTTAATGGTGGATAATCTCGTAACATAAGTAGAGTTACACACTACATACTTACAAATAATGTTAATGGTAATCAAAGTACGGGGTTGACGCTTGAGAAAGGTGTGAGCAAGTGCTAGGGAGTTTCTACGAAGGTATTGTGCAAGTTCCATGGTAACCGCGTTGCAGAACAAAAAATTGGCACACTGAAAAGACAGCACTGCATCATGACGAAATTAGCCTTTCCAATTATAGAGAATATATATTTAATAAATAATGTGTATTTAATTGTGATGACACATTCTAAGGTTTTTGAACAAAAAAATGTAAATTTCAAAAAAATTCATCTATTTAGTTCGTTGACCAAATGTTTTACCGGACTAATGCAGGAAGACGCGTTTCATATGGTTACACGTTTAGTCGCGCACCTGACACATGCGCGTTTCTGACAAATCTGAACACGTTTGTACCAGGTACGTGTCTGAACACGTTCTGTACCATGTGCGTATTTCTGACAAGTCTGACGAGCATAATACCAAGATGCGTCATATTCAGCACGCATTCCGTGGCATAGTCGCGCCACAGTCACAAACGCGCACCTGGTACATATATGTTTAGACACGTACATGGTACATACTGTTCAGATTTGTCAGAAACGCGCATGTGTCAAATGCGCGACTAAACGCGTAACCACCTGAAACGCGTCTTCCTGCATTAGTCCGGTAAAACATTTGGTCAATGAACATGACAACTAGGTTGTTAAATTAAGATGATTTAACATAATGTTTTTTTTTTAATATTATTCTTGCCCCTTTCTTCCTATTATCTTCCTTTTTTTTCTCTTAATTTGTCATAGTTAATGGTGGATAATCTCATAACATGGGTAGAGTTACACACTACATACTTACAACTAATGTTAATGCTAATCAAAGTACGGGGTTGACGCTTGAGAAAGGTATGAGCAAGTGCTAGGGAGTTTCTACGAAGTTGTCATGGGCCATGTTATTGTGCAAGTTTCTGGTAACTGCGTTGCAGAACAAAAAATTGGCACACTGAAAAGACAGCACTGCATCATGACGAAATTAGCCTTGTTCATTAATCAAAATGAATTTCCAATTACAGAGAATATATATTTAATAAATAATGTGTATTTAATTGTGATGACACATTCTATTATTAGAGCTGGCAAAATGGGCCGAGTCCGCCGGCCCGCCCCGACCCGCCCGCCAAACGAGGTGGGTGGGCTGAGTTTTCTAAGCCCGCTGCTCGCCCAGCCCGCCTGGGCTGATTTTTTTTTTTTTAAATTTTTAGTGTAATATGTGACGGGCTTGGCGGGCAGAGATATCTAGCCCACTTTCAATGGCGAGGCGGGGCGGGCCAGCCCGCTTTTTGGCGGGCAGGGGCGGGGCGGGGCGGGCAGCCCGCTTTGCCACCTCTATCTATGATATATACATTTTGTAAAAAATTAAATAAAAATAATTTGTTTCTTATTTCTAGTAATTTGTGTTCCTTAACTGCTCGTTCATTATCTCTAACAGAGAAATAAAATAAAATGATTTTATCTTTATTTTTAACTATTTGTTCTCTCGCATAAAAAAAATACAAGAAACATTTTTGAACAATATTGCACGTAATCATACATTATAGTAAATTTACATAATTATATATTTAGTTATAACGACGGCTACTTTTTTTCTTGTAATACTGCTATTTATAATCAGGGTTCGCTTTTTTTTACAGTTAGTTTACTGATAAATTATCTGCAGTAAGTTCAATACGACGTTATTTTGGATCGAAATCATGATGTTTTTGTAATTTTAATTTATTTCAGGGTTATAATAATCTTATATTTATAATTTTTTAAGATTTCAATATCAAAACGACATCGGTTTAGGAATAAATGCAGATAACTTATCTGCAGTATCTGCAGAAATATTTTTGCCATTGATTATTTACAATGTGACAGGAGGTTATGAATTATTAAATTAATTTTAAGATGTTATCTAACGGGTTAAAAATGATACTTTTAAAGCATAAGCAGTCCTTCCTTCATCCATACATGATACATGCCATTTCATATTAAATTGGGAAAAGTATTTGTCTTTTTAAATGACATAATTTGTGTCATTTTATTTTCACAAAGAGGTGAGATTCACACCTTTACATTTTTGTGTCCACTCTCTCCTCCTTTATCTAACTCTTTCTCACTTGAAATGACACAATTTTATATCCTTTAAAATAATACACACTTTCCCCTCCATTAATATTAATTAACATGCATTCATTACACTAACACTTAAACTTGCAACAAGGAAAGTAATGGTTTACAAGGGGGAAAAACAATTGGAAGAACTTCCAAAATCACAACACAAAGGAGGAGGAATCTAAGAACCCAACCCAAATTCAACAAACGAAATACTAAAAAAGGTTATTGTACGCTATACATCAGCAGAAATTATAAGTTTTCCCAGCATACTTCACATTATAATTTTCAGCATTGTTCATGAGGCTACTGAGTGGCGAATCATATGAAGTTCCCTTAATTGCCTTATACTCATTCCACCAAATCATGTAGCTGCTTTCTTTAAGGAAAATTTCTATTGACACAGCATAATTCTTGAGCAACCCATAAACATACTCCTCAAATTCAAGCAATTTCCTACATGCTTCTTCTTTCTCTGTCACGCTAGATTGTGCATCCTTCAACAGTTTGCACATAAGTAGAGCCTCTTCAACATGTGCCCAAAAGCAAGAATCTATGGTTAAAAGAGCTTCCACATTCATCTTACTTGTACTGTTTAAGTCACATGTGGCTTTTGTTGTTCCTTCCTTTAACCAATCGTCCAACAGTTTAAAATGTTTGGACCTTTTTTCAGTCGCATAATCTTTACCTCCCTCACTATAATATTTAGCAATAACAAGTGGTTCAACCATTCTCCTGTAATTAGTCCCAGCACCTAGCCAGCGGGTACGAAAATTTGAGCCTTCTTTCTGAGGCTTCATCTCTGCCTCTTCAACCATCTTTTCCCAGTAATTTATGAGGTTTTTCTTGAACTTTACAACATCTTGGTCACTTGTTAAGAGCATCTTCTTGTAGCTGTCATAGTACCCTATATTTCTGTCTTTAGAATCCTTCTTGTACCATTCAAGTTGGGCCATGTCAATCTTCACTAAATTCAATTTCTTGGATAGCTCAATTGTTTCCCTCTTCCGGAAAATGAATTTATTTTCCAATGTTTCCATCATAGTTACCAAAGTATTGATATCAATGTTCTGATGTTGTTTCTCCTGCAAAATCAATTTTAGAAAATAGATCAGGAAAAAATGGATTAACCAAATACTAATAAGGTTCACACTTAGAATAAAAGTTATTTAAGAAATAAAACATATTCAGCTACCTGCATATCTGGTGTGAATCCTAGCGCCCACAAGTGCAAATGGATACTTGCATGCAGTGTACTAGAATAATTCATGTCTTTAGCCTGTACTGTAAAGTCCTTGCAAATTGCTTTATGATAGAGATTTTCCACTATATTTCCATAATCCAAGGACTGAAATTCTTGATTTTGATCATGGATAGAGCCCAATGCCACTAGTACTTCCAAAATAGAATCAGGGTTCTCAAAACAAGTAGAATTTTTATCAGAACAAAAGAGAAATGTTCCAAAAGGCATGTAGGAACTGGTTTGAGAACTATGGTTTGTAATGAGGAGCCTTGGAAGTGGGTCTTTGTGTGATACAACATGTAGAAAGCAAGAATTCCAATTAGAACTACGTGATATGGCTTGTTGCAATCCCTTGTCACCAATAAGGGGTGAACCAAAGGTGATGCAGAGTGGGCGATTCTTTCCTGAACCAATGCTATCCAATCGTGATATGGTGAAGAGAGAAGCAACTGATCCTCCAAGAGCATTTCCAGTAATAATCAATGGTTTGGAGCTATTAATCTGCATTAACATTGTTATATAAGGGTTTACCAAACAATATATGCCCAAAACATAAACATGTAGAAATCTACACTATTCTTAAGACAAAAATCACCCTCACAATTGCTGTAAGTTTAATGAAAGATTATCCCCGTAATCTTATCCCAAACACCCTGAAGTTTGTAGGTAGTAATCCCTAATAAAAGAACTAAGGATAACAAACATTAACAGTACAAGTGGTTAAACAATATGAGTGAAGAAAAGAACCTTGAAGTACAAGTGCTTTCAAAATATAAACATACCAATATCACAATATGCATATGTAAGACTTTGAGAAGTCATTTCTCATATACATCATCTGTTCATTCATTAGTTTAACAAACAATATCAACAACCACTAATCCATGCCGAAATGTCTCACTTGTCTGCTTATAGTTTTTCATGCAGTTCAAAGATGCAATTTAGTATCCACATTAAGGATTTTTCAAAAATGAAATCAGAATAGGCTTAGAATAGTGAAGAGAGAAAGTAGTAGATGTACCTCGGATTTTAATTCATAAAGCTTCTGACGATTTTCATAAAAGAGGGACACTGCAGTGTTGTTAATAGAGAAAAATGGATTGTTTTTTGTACAAAGAAAGTCAAAGTGAAGAAAATTTCTCTCCCTGAGATCAGAATGTGAAACCAAATCCACTTGAAGATTAGTATCTAATGTGGCCTCAAATGCTATAATGGTCAAATCCGAAACAGGTTCTTTATAAACTTTCCATGATAGTCCCACTCCCACATTTGAAACTATGTCTGCATGATGAGATGAGATAACATCCCATGATCTTTGGAGAAGAACAGAACTTGTCATAAAAGGTGCAAGTTCAATTCCACTGCTAAATCTGCAACCACAATGACACAAAATTCAACACAAGTAGCAATATAAGAATCAGTAGTTAATGTTATTTTCTATTATGGTTTTTCACGTACAAACCAAAATCAAACAAAGAAAAAAAGGAGGAGGAATATTTAACTTATCACATACAATTGAGATTGCCTCATGGTGTGAATAGACAGAACAAGTAACTTTGAAGTAGAAGGTTGTGATGCTGTGTTTTGTTCACAAATGATAAAGATGAACAAGTTTGATGAAGAGAAATATGCTATGGCGGTTATTAATAAAGAGTGAAGACTAACACTATGTCATAAGCATAGGAAACTCACCGGAAAAGAAGAGGAAATGGTTGAAACCATGCAAAGAAAGTAACTTGGTTAGTAAAAACACGCGTCAACCTTTTTTTCTATGCCATAAATTAAGAGACATGCCCGTGCATGTTTTCGGAAAACTAAAATTTATTCTTATTTTTTTATTTTAAAAATAATTTATGCAAAACAAATTTTCATAATAATTAAAAAAGGTTGCTAACCAAATAAATTTTATTTGTTGTTTTCTTGTAAAGAAAACTAATTTTAAAAGCTATACTTGAGTACTCAACCACTATATCCGAATAAATATTATTTTGTAAAAAATACTCGAGTATTAAGATTTTATATTGAAGTATATAACTCAGTTAATAGTCAAAAATGGGCAATATGTTTTGGTACGGGGGGTAAAGTAATAATTTTTAATGTAATAAGAAGCACAGCACAATGATCAAAAAGCCTCATAAATTAAAAGACATCGCTTATTACCCAAAAAATAATAATTATTATTATTATCTCATGCAACAGAGATAAGATAAAGAATCCACTATTTTTTCTTTTTTGAAAAAAAAAGTATACTCTATTATCTTATCTTTGTTGCATGAGATAATTATATCATGCAACATGAGATAAATAGATTCCAAAAAAAAAATACATTCTTGTCTGAAAACTAAAATTTATTCCTATTTTTCTATTTTAAAAATAATTTAATCAAAACAAATTTTCATAATAATAAAAAAAGGTGGATAACCAAAAAAAAATTATTTGTTTTTAGTTCATGGACAAAAAAAGTATCAAAAGAAAGTATAGGTGTTTGATTAAGTCAATTAATTAATTTATTTGTTTATTTATTTATTTGAAAAAAGAGATTCTGAGGCGAAAGTAGCACGAAGAAATTTTTGTTTGGTTTGATTGAAGGTCGATTGCGTAAGTTATAGCATTAAAACATAGTTAAATTGAGACACAAAGATGAATCACCGTAGATAACAGGGTAATAAATAATTAAGTGGTATAAACTATTAAATAACTTCTCCTTTGAAAAGTTTTGAGAAAAAATAAAATCTTATATAGTAGAATACTCATAAAGGGAAGATGGTGCGAAATTGCCATGGTAACGCGTTGCAGATTTCAGAATAATAACAAGGAAACCTGAGTTTTTTTATCCTTATAATCTTTTATTAATAATTAATTATTAAATTGATCTTCATTATAAATTATTTTAAAAATTTAACTCCTTCTAAAAACATAACATCAATCTGTCTCTGTTTGACCGTTGACCACCAAGTTTACCCAGATACACCCCTCCCTACTCGAGTGCTTTTTGAAATTTTGTGCCTACCCAGATAGGGAGGTGTGTATCCAGGTATAGTTCTTAACATCTGAGATATTGCTTGAATTATTTACCGAGTAAAAAGGGATGTACCGGGGTAAAGTTCTTTGTGAAGGATTCAAAAAGATCAAGACAGTTTTCTTTTATTTTCTGATAAAATAAAGTTCTTAAACTCACTTCAAAATCTAGAATTTATAAACCTTCACAACTTTTGGAAATTTGAAACACTAAATCAGTACAACTTTTATCTGGTTTGAAAAATCGAACTTGAGGAAGACTAACTTCTTGCAAGCTATAAGCCACTGGCTCAACTAAGCTAGCAGCATGACTTGGATGAACTCAACCAATAAATGCACCAAACAACAAAGCTCCAGAATTTTACGAGAATTCGGCAAGAAATATAAGCTCATAAGCAAGGCTACAGTGGAGTGTCATTATGTGATTTTCAGAAAATTCTAAAATTGATTCCTCGCTTGCTGGAAGAGAAATTTCTGGTTGAAAAATTTAACACATCAAAATCCGGGTAAAATATTTAGATTAATACCAAGCAACTAGACCTGGATCGGTTAGAATCTTCCATCTGAATTTTGATCCTGAAATTTGTAAAATCCAAGAGAAGTGGAAGCAACAAAGCAATTATCCAGGCATTTAAGACCTACTAGTACTCACTACTTAGCTAATATCTCATATAGCATCTCAAGACAATTGACGCAATTGAAATTTTACAAACTGTCTTTATTTTATCCGGGTATATCCCTCTCTATCCGGATAAATAATTCAAGCAATTTTTTAAATGCCAAGAATTATACTCGGGTACATCCCTCCCTACCTGGGTAGGCATAAATTTATAAAAAAATATCCGGTAGAGAGGGGTGTACCCGGGTAGACTTGGTGGTCAACGGTCAAACAAAAACAAATTAGTGTTATGTTTTTCAAAAAAGTTAAACTTTTGAAATAATTAATTTAATAATTAATTATTAATAAAAGATTATAAAAGTCAAAAAACCAGAAAACCGTCGTATAAGATACGCCTTATGTGGGGCTAGTTATGATAACTTGTATGGAGGAGTCATCCATCGATAAACCAATTGGGCGCTTCAGTCTTCCCACATGAAGTCTTAATTGCTGTGATTCGTTGAGACTTTCACTTGAACAAAGGTGGAGTCGTAGATGACCCACATTTTACGGTTGAAATGATACTTGACTTTATAATAATATGATTGTTAAATTAATAATTTATTATGCAAATTTTAATGATTGAAATAATATTAAGAGATGTTTGGTACGAGAGAATTATTTTTTTTTATTGAGAAAAAAAAAGTTTTGAAAATATGGTGGAAATTTTTTTTCCCGTATAAGTTATGAAAAAGTGTTTGGTAGACCTAAATTTTTCCAAAAAAAATTGAATTATTTTTACTTATGCTATATTTGGTTGATTGTAAAATATTGATGAGAATCTGAATTGAAATTATCAAAGTACCCATTATTTTGAAATGAGATTATGAGCTCAGATAAAGTAAAAGGGCATTTTTGTCTAAAAAAATTAAACAAAGATTATGAGTTCATGGGAAAAAAACATTACCATAGGGTAGTGTTTGGTTGGGGAGTTGTGAACACTGTTATGATTCTCTCTGCCAACGTAGTATTCTTATAAAAATCAGAAAAATAAAAAAAGGGGATAAAAATAATGGCAAGTTTACCCCTCTTCTTACAAATCTTACCTAATTCGTCCGGTAAATTTTTTTCCAACCAAACAATTTTTTTTACATTTTTCTACCAAACTCACTTTCCATCCATTTTTTTATTAATTAAACACTGTTATGATTCTCTCTGCCAACGTAGTATTCTTACAAAAATCAGATAAATAAAAAAGGGGATAAAAATAATGGCAAGTTTACCCCTCTTCTTATAAATCTTACCTAATTCGTCCGGTAAATTTTTTTCCAACCAAATAATTTTTTTTACATTTTTCTACCAAACTCATTTTCCATCCATTTTCTTATTAATTACATTTATCTAGTATTCAAAAAATTTCTCCTCAACTAAACACACCCTAGATGAGGTGAGATTTTTATTTTTTTTTCTGAAATGTGTAGTTACAAATGGAAATGATGGGGAAACAATTTTGCTGGAATTTTCTTAAGTTTCCTCATACGAAAATATTTTTCACCTTACTTTCTTATCATTCCAAATAAAATACTCATACCAAAAGACTCCTTATATTAAGAAACGTATGAAGCTCCATTACAAATTGTAGAGGCCCATTTACTAATATATTAATTTTGGGCCTGATCTAAACTTTACAAACCCTTCCTCATTGGTCATTCCAAATCATATTTTGATCGTTTCGATCCATTTTATTTGAAAACATTTAATTTAGATGGCCCATTTAACTTAAAAAAACTTTCTAATAAGATCAAAATTTCAAAGGATTTTTTCTTCTTTAATTTTTTCTTATATTTATTGATTAATTAACTAATCCGATCGAGTCGGATAGGACTAATCTCCCTACTGAAAACCCTATGCCAATTGATTTATGTATTTGGTGAGAAGATTATTTTTCTTAATGTAACATGGTCTTACAAAAAAAAAAAAAAAAATGCCAGCAACTTTGATAGCTCTTTAAGTTTTTTTATATGATACATCTGTGTGAATTAGAGTTAAATGTCGTTTGAATTGTTTATGACCTTGTATAATCTTATTGTGTTAGAAATGAAAAGAAACAAATATATAAGATCTTAATTTGTAAAACACAAGAACACGATTTCTGATTTTCTTTTTCTGACATATTTTATTTCACGTGAAGATCTAACTTTTTTTTAGGGAAAAAAATGTGTATTCATTTAAAGGATATAAAATTGTGTCCTTTTAAAAAATAGAAAGAAATAGATCATGGGTAAAAGAAACTCACGCATAATTTATCTATTTCTCTATCTTAAAACTATCATCCTTTAAATTGACACACAATTTTTTCTTTTTGTAAGCTTGTTAACATTTTCAGCAGATTTCAAATTATGATGATAACTAATTTGTTGTTCATAAAAATAATAATTTGGGTCTTATGCATATAGAAAAATATAATATGGGAAAATTTCAATCATACAAAAGTTGATCAATGATATACTTTTATAACTTTCTATTCTAATAAAAAAATTTCCCAAATTATTATTAATCTACCATTGTATAATTAGTATTTTCTACATTGTGAGAGAATCCACTGCCAAAGAGATAGTAAATTCATGTTTATACAGTCGAATAAAAAATAGTTTCACGAACGGTTCAAAATATGCCAAACTTATAAAGCTGGGTTTAAGCTGAACTTATAATTATAAATCAACTTTGGGGTCTTATTCTTTTAAAAAAATAAGACCTCAAAATAAATAAAATAAAATAAATCGGATTCTGGTCCCCAAATGCCACCGTTTTTTATTGGAAGAAGCCTTTCCCATTCGGAGAAATTTCGAGGAAAGGCCGAAAGGGGACAGTGTGTATATTTGTAACTTTACTAATTTCAAGCCTTTCACATTGA